TATTCTTTATTATGAAATCAATTTAATATATTTTAATTTTGGCTATGAATCTCTCTACATGATTTGCTCCATCATAATCTACTTTCTTCTGCAATCACGCTGACAAAGCAGGATTTCATCTAAATTATGAATCTATTAATGGTAGATATAGAAGCTTAAATTGCTGCGAGATTATTTCTTTAAAAGTTGAACGTAACTTCGGAAATTTTTGGTAAAAGTATACTTATACAGTTATAACATAAAATGTGGTGGATACAAATCTAACTTTAGTCAATGGACGTTATACATTTTCGTATGGCAGTTGATGAAAACCAAATCTACCGGAAGCTTACGCACTAGAGTTAGTTGAATACAGTTAACTTTCTACTGAAATTTGTTAGTTAGAAGAAGCAATTGACCTAATAAATCATGCTTTTATTAAAATTTATACGTCTTCAGTCCCAAGTTATATATATATATTCTTTCGGTGCAGAATTTGCCATGGATATAGACCTAATTATACTTGATAACTTAATTACACTTAATATAATTATTTAATGTTTAATCTACGGGGTTGCTTTATATATATATATTCTTTCGGTGTAGAATTTGCCATGGATATAGACCTAATTATACTTGATAACTTAATTACTCTTAATATAATTATTTAATGTTTAATCTACGGGGTTGCTTTCTATAATTAATTAATTAAAGTTTCTCCACGTCATTTTGACGAAATATTCCAAAGGTTTGACTTAATATGGATTAATTGGTTTTATGCTTGTCAAATTCTTGGAAAATTTCTTGCAATTTTCAAGAGGCTGCAGAGAGAGATTGAAAATTAATGATGTATTATTCCGAAGTGTCTCCTGAATGGTTGAACTTTGAATATAATTTAATGGCAAGAGCCTAACATATGACCTATGAGCAATAAAAATGTCAACAAAAAACACATGCGATAAATTATTTAATTTGCCTGAAACAAGGAAGCCCTGAAACAAGGCGAACTGCATTCATAAATGGAGCTTTCACACCCCATAACAATTGTGTATGTTCTGAAGAAATAGAATCAAATTACACTTACAAGTTTCTGAATTTGTGTTCTCACTCACTATGTGCCCATTGAAATTAAAGTTTATGTTTCAAACAATCGTGCATGGCTAAATAAAAATTCAATTGTCGAACCGTTTAAATACTTGGAAACTAGACAGATAATTAGCTGACTTTGGAAAACTTTAGACCCACAATCGAACCATTCATTTTATTATCATACATATTTTGGTTTTCCTTGTTTCCCGGTTTCCACTAAACAATCAGTAGTAAATTGACCATAACTCACTCAATAAAAGCTCAATTGATGAGCGGTTTGAATATATGGAAACTAGACAGACAGAGCTTTAATTTGATATATTATACGCTAAATTTGGATAACTGTAGACCCACTACCGAACCATTCATTTTATCATCATACATATTTTGGTTTCTCACGTTTCTCGGTTTCCACTAAATAGTAAGTAGTAAATTAGCCATAACTTGCTTAATAAAAATCCAATTGATGAGCGGTTTAAATCTTTGAAACCTAGATAGACATGGCTTTAATTTGATATATTATACGCTAAATTTGGATAACTGTAAACCCACTGCCAAACCATTCATTTTATCATCTCACACACTTTAGTTTCCCCATTTCGAGATTTCCACTGAACAGTCAGTAGTAAATTGATAATAATTTTCTCAATAAATATCCAATTGACAAACGGTTTGAATATTTGGCAACTAGATAGACAAGGCTTAAATTTGACATATTATACGTTGAATTTGGATAACTTTAGACCCACTGCCAAAGCATTCATTTTATCATCACACACATTTTTGTTTCCCCTGTTTCTTGGTTTCTACTAAACAGTCCGTAGTAAATTGACCATAACTTGCTGAATAAAAATCCAATTTACGAACGGTTTGAATATTGGAAACTAGACAGACAAGGCTTTAATTTGATATATTATATGCTGAATTTGAATAACTACAGAACTACTGTCGAATCATTCATTTTATCATTACACATTTTGGTTTCTCTTGTTTCTTGGTTTCCACTAAACAATCAATAGTAAATTGACCATAATTTGCTCAATAAACATCCAATTGACAAATGGTTTGAATATTTGGCAACTAGACAAACAGGGCTTTAATTTGATATATTATATGCTGAATTTGGATAACTATAGACCCATTGCTGAACCATTTTATCATCATGCACATTTCAGTTTCCACTGAATAGTCAGTAGTACATTGATCCTAACTTGCTCAATAAAAGTTCAATTGATGAGCGGTTTAAATCTTTGGAAACTAGACAAACAGGGCTTTAATTTGATATATCATACTCTAAATTTGAATAACTATAGACCCACTGCTGAACCATTCATTTTATCATCACACACATTTTGGTTTCCCCCGTTTCTTGATTTTCACTAAATAATCAGTAGTAAATTAACCATATGTTGCTTGGTAAAATTCTAATTGATGAACGATTTAAATATTTGAAAACAAGATAGACATAGCTTTAATTTGATGTATTATACACTGAATTTGGATAACTGTAGAGCCATGGTTGAACAATTCATTTTATTATCACACACATTTTGGTTTCCCCATTTCTCGGTTTCCATTTAACAGTCAGTACTAAATTGATCATAACTTGCTCAATAAAAATCCAATTGATAAGCGGTTTGAATATTTGGAAACTCGACAGACAAAGCTTTAATTTGATATATTATACAGTGAATTTGAATAACTGTAGAACTACTGCCAAACCATTCATTTTATCATCACACACATTTTGGTTTCCTCCGTTTCTCAGTTTCCACTAAATAATCAGTAGTAAATTAACCATAACTTGCTCAATAAAAATCCAATTGATGAGCGGTCTGAAACATTGAAAACTAGGCAGACAGGGCTTTAATTTGATAATTATAGACTGAATTTGGATAACAGTAGACCCACTGTCGAACCATTCATTTTATCATCCCACACATTTTAGTTTCCCCATTTCTCAGTTTCCACTGAACAGTTAGTAGTAAATTGACAATAATTTTTTCAATAAATATCCAATTAACAAACGGTTTCAATATTTGGCAACTAGATAGATAAGACTTTAATTTGACATATTATAGGTTGAATTTGGATAATTGTAGACCCACTACCGAACCATTCATTTTTTTCATCACACACATTTTTGTTTCCCCTGTTTCTCGATTTTCACTAAACAGACAGTAGTAAATTGACCATAACTTGCTGAATAAAAATCCAATTTATAAACGGTTTGAATATTTGAAAACTAGATAGACAAGGCATTAATTTGATATTATACGTTGAATTTGGATAGCTGTAGATCCATTTCTGAACCATTCATTTTATTATCACACATTTTGCTTTCCCTTATTTCTTAGTTTTCACTGAATAGTCAGTAGTAAATTGACCATAATTTGCTCAATAAAAATCCAATTGATGATCGGATTGAATATTTGAAAACTAGACAGACAGAGCTTTAATTTGATATTTCATACACTGAATTTGAATAATTGTAGACTCACTATCAAACCATTCATTTTATCATCATACATATTTTGGTTTCTCCTATTTCTCAATTTCTATTGAATAGTAAGTAGTAAATTGACCATAATTTGTTCAATAAAAATCCAATTGACAATCGGATTGAATATTTGAAAACTAGACAGACATGGCTTTAATTTGATATATTATACGCTTTATTTGAACAACTATAGATTCACTGTCGAACCATTCATTTTATCATCACACATATTTCAGTTTCCCTTGGTTCTCCGTTTCCATTGAACAATCAGTAGTAAATTGACCATAACTTACTCAATAAAAGTCTAATTGATGAGCGGTTTGAATCTTTAGAAACTAGACAGACAAGGATTTAATTTGATATATTATATGTTGAATTTGGATAACTGTAGACCCATTGCCGAATCATTCATTTTATCAACATAGACATTTTGGTTTCCCCCGTTTGTCAGTTTCCACTGACCAGTCAGTAATAAATTGACCATAACTTGCTCAACAAAATACAATTGGCGAATGATTTGAATATTTGGAAACTAGACAGATAGGGCTTTAATTTTATATATTATAAGCTGAATTTAGATAACTGTAGACCCACCGCCGAACCAATTATTTTATCATCACACATATTTTGGTTTCCCCTATTTCTCAGTTTTCACTTAATAGCCAGTAGTAAATTGACCATAACTTGCTCAATAAAAATCCAATTGATGAGTGGTTTAAATCTTTGGAAACTAGAAAGATGGGGTTTTGATTTGATATATTATTAGCTAAATTTGGATAACTATAGGCCCATTGCCAAACCATTCATTTTATAATCACACATTTCGGTTTCCCCTGTTTCTCGATTTTCACTAAACAGTCAGCAATAAATTGACCATAACTTACTCAACAAAAATCAAATTGATGAGCGATTTGAATATTTTGAAACTCAACAGACAGGATGTAATACTCCGTACTCTCCAAGTGGATTTTATTTAATTTTATTTATGTGAATCTAGGGGGTAATGTGTAAGAATTGAAACTTTTTGGAGACGTTTTAGTAAGAAATAAGGCCTGGTGGGTTTATTAAATAGTTTTGCAGGAGCACTTGTGTGAAATTGGAAGTGTGAAAATCTTTCAACGACATTATGAAATTGATTAAAGATGAGGGGTCTTATTAATATTGTGTCATGCAAGGGCACATGCATAATTTTCTAGGGGTGAGATCGTGATAAAACATAACCTTAATTAAAGGATTTTGGGGTGCAAAATGTAAGAATCAAAGACTAAGGGATGCATGATAATTGGCCATTGCAAGATGGATTAAAGGTAATTCCTTTCGGAGAATCAGCCCCTGGTTTTGGCACCTTGTTTTGCCAATGATGGTTGTGAATTTATATTAAATTGAGATGAGGAGAAAAGGATGGGGGAGTGGAGAAAGAGACAGCCGAGAGAATGAAAGGAAAAAAAAAAAGGGTGAGAGAGGAGAAGCTTGTTTTCTTTTCTCTTTCTCATTTTGCGTTCATTCTCTTGTGTAAATTGAAAGAGAGAAAAGCAATTTTAAGTTGAAGTAGAAGAGGGCCGAGAGGTGATTTGTAGGGGGAGAATTTTCATAAGGGTAAAGTACTAAGTGTTAGGCATGCATTTCCAATCTTTCATTTCCCTAATTGTTTAGATCCCAATTCTTATTTCAATTTTGAATCAAATAGGTGAAGAAGATAGGAGAACCGAGCACTTGAGTTGAAAGCAAAGGAGAAAGTGTAAGTGGAATAATATTGCATGAAACTGCATGTTTTCAAATTCATGTGTGGTTGTGGACAATTCGAGTGTTATGTCATTCTTTAATATTTTGTTGTGCTTGTTTATGGGAATGCTAAGTAGTGAATTGTGATGGGGAGAAGACATGAAATTGATAATTGATTGGTTGCATTGGTTGGGCATAATAAAATTTAAGAATAGTCAGCATATGAGTTTTGATACTTTCTTAATGATGATTTATTGTTATGGGTTCAGTTTATGAATTTTGCAAGTTGGAGTTGCTGGAAGTTACCTTGAGTGTTCATATATTTATTGTTTTGATATTGTAATGTTGGCTGGAATTGTTTCTTAAAAAGAAATATTGGTATGATGAAAACGTGAACTAAACTTTGTATGTATAGAATTGCTAATTGATTTTTTTTTTTATTTTGTTGGCTGGAAGTTCATTTTGCTTTGTGCTTGACGTCATTTGGAAGAGACATTTTTGTTTAGCTGCTGGGAAATTTTGGGGAAAAGATAGTTGTTTGAATTATTGAGTTTTATTATAATAGTGGCGGGCCTAATATAATAAGGCCCAGATTTTGTTAGTTGGGTTTTAATTTCATAAATGAATGAATGGACATGGGCTTTTGAAGCCTTATTGGGTTGTAAAATGAAAATGAGGCCCAATTATTGTTTAAGGCTTTAGATGAATTTGTTTATATTAGTAGGATGGCTTATTATTAATGATGAGGCCCAATTTTTATTATTTTGTTGGGTTTTGGCTTTGATGATAATTGGTGGGGAGGATAATGTGGGAAAAGAAAATTTTGTGAGGCATTGCGTTCTCGGTTATGGGTGTGTTATTGTCAAGGTCGAAAGTCAATTTGGGGGTTGACTACAAAGATTAAAAGTTTTGGGATTTTAGTGAAATTGATGATAAATATAGGGTGTAAATTGATGATAAATATAGGGTGTAAATAGAATTTTTCACACTTCTGTACCTTTGACATGGTGAGCATTGCATTCATGGTTACATGCCTTTTTATTGAAATTTTATATCATATTATACTTTATATATGTACAAGGCATGCATGATGCATATTTGGAATGAAATTCTGGATGCATGATTATTAATATGTTTCACTTTCGGATTGGAAACCACCCTTGTTTAGTACCCATCCCCCTCGAGACATCAGCTAGTGTTTGATATTTATCCTTGTGCGCGCATTGAGATGGTCCATCCTACTGAACGATTGGGATATCCTACTCGTGCAAGACAGACGCCTGATGAGCTCCGGGTGGGATTACACCAGGCGGTTATTGGTCGATGTGGGATTTTGGACGCCCCGAGGGTAGACCGTGGGCGAGATTATATTTGATACCATATCATGACAGCCCGAGGGTAGACTGTGGGTCGAGCATGGTTATCCAGTGATGTTCGTACCATCCCAAGGGTAGACTGCGGATGGTGCCACCCCGAGGGTAGATTGCAGGTAGTGTAGCTTCATGTCTGAGTTAAGGACTGGTTCGGATAGTTATGATCCAGGTCCCTAAGTGCTAGTAGGGTGGTGATAATTGATTTATTTTATATGATAGTGGTGTGTGATTTCATGGCATCCAAGAATAAAATATGGTGTTCGTTGCCTCATCATGTAAGTGCATTAGTGTTGTGTGGCATGCAACTAGATTATTCATGCATGTTTTCAAAGTTAAAGTTATTTTCGCAGCTCACTGTTTATGTTTCCTCCCCTAGGATCATAGATCGGGTTCATGTGGAGCATACTCGATGCCCTAGGTTAGCCTTGACGCATGATGATTTGCATCTTTTACAAACTTTAGTGGACTCTGATATTATGTTTCTTTTTGTAACCGGATTTTTAGTTCTCGCTTTTAGAATAATTATTTGTGTATTTCCGCTTTCTAAAACTTAAACATGCAAATGCATTACTTTTCACTTTCGTCTATAATCAGAATTGTTTTTATGAACGTTTTTTTTTATATATAGAGTATTCACCTTCCTTTCGGGATCCTGAGTCTCCTGGAGCACCCGGATCCAATGGGATAGGGATACTCGGGAGGGGGTGTGACACAGGACTTTAATTTGATATATTATATGCTGAATTTGAATAACTATAGAACTCTTGCTGAACCATTCATTTTATCATCACACACATTTTGGTTTCCTTCGTTTCTCAGTTTCCACTAAATAGTTAGTAGTAAATTGACCATAACTTGCTCAATAAAAATCCAATTGATGAGCGGCTTGAATCTTTGGAAACTAGGCAGACATAGCTTTAATTTGATAATTATATGTTGAATTTGGATAACTGTAGACCCACCGTTGAACCATTCATTTTATCATCACACACATTTTGGTTTCCTCCATTTCTCAGTTTCCACTGAATAGTCAATAGTAAATTGACTATAATTTGCTCAGCAAAAATCCAATTGACAAACGGTTTGAATATTTGGAAACTAGACAAATAGAGATTTAATTTGATATATTATACGTTGAATTCGGATAATTATAAACCCACAGCTGGACCATTCATTTTATCTTCACACACATTTTGGTTTCCTCTGTTTCTTGGTTTCCACTAAACAGTTAGTAGTAAATTGACCCTAAAATGCTCAATAAAAGTTCAATTGATGAGTAATTTGAATCTTTAGAAACTAGATAGACTGAGCGTTAATTTGATATGTTATACGCTAAATTTGAATAATTGTATCACACATATTTTGGTTTCCCCCATTTCCCAATTTCCACTAAATATTTAGTAGTAAATTGACCATAATTTGCTCAATAAAAATTCAATTGACGATCGGATTGAATATTTGAAAACTAGACAGACAGGGTTTAATTTGATATATTATACGCTTTATTTGAATAACTGTAGACTCACTGTCAAACCATTCATTTTATCATCACACACATTTCGGTTTCCCTTGTTTTTCAGTTTTCACTGAAAAGTCAATAGTAAATTGACCATAACTTGCTCAATAAAAGTCTAATTGATGAGCGGTTTAAATATTTGGAAACTAGAAAGACAAGAATTTAATTTGATATATTATACACTGAATTTGGATAATTGTAGACCTATTGCTGAACCATTCATTTTATCATCACACACATTTTGGTTTCCCCCGTTTATCGGTTTCCACTTATCAGTTAGTAGTAAAATGACCATAACTTGCTCAATAAAAATACAATTGATGAACGGTTTGAATATTTAGAAACTAGACAGATAGAGCTTTAATTTTTTATATCATACGCTGAATTTGGATAACTGTAGACCCACTACTGGACCATTCATTTTAACATCACACACATTTTGGTTTCCCCTGTTTCTCGGTTTTCACTGAACAGTCAGTAGTAAATTTACCATAACTTGCTCAATAAAAATTCAATTGATGAGAGGTTTGAATCTTTGAAAACTAGACAGACAGGGCTTTAATTTGATATATTATTAGCTGAATTTGGATAACTATAGAACCATTGCCAAACCATTCATTTTATCATCACACATTTCAATTTTTCCTGTTTCTCGGTTTCCACTGAATGTCAGTAGTAAATTGGTCATAACTTGCTCAATAAAAATCCAATTGATGAGTGGTTTAAATCTTTGAAAACTAGACAGATAGGGCTTTACTTTGATATATTATACGATGAATTTGGATAATTGTAGACCCCTCCAATTATAGTCGAACCACACTTAAAACAAAGGCAAGTTATTTAAAACAATGAATGAAACAACATCATTTTAAAATGTTAGACATTTTGACGCTAAAAAATGACACCACATAATAAAATCATAATGTAAAACTATATACAATTAAAATCTTTAATTTGATAGACCTATACAATGTATTTACCTCAACAGTAGATATCAACCAATTAAAACATCCAATTATTCAAACAAATGTGGTGTCAAAACCAATATCATAAGCAACTTGCGCAACGCGTAGGACTTTTAACTAGCTTTTAAAAATTTTAATACATATACTTGGAAAAATGAGTATAACGCGGGTTTTTGTTGCTTCTTGGTGTATATTAGTAAACTTTGCATATGTCTAATTTGTATTATTCATGTATAGAAATTTATTCCAATAATTACAAAGAATGAATAATCAATGTTATCAACACAACAATGCAAGAGTTCATGATCATTTTATACAATATATATACGATGAATATATTACATCATGCATATATGCATATATTCAATATAATCTCATTAAACTGATTGCACTTGTTGTGCAAATTTTAAATATACTCGCAAGCGCACGAGTCTATTGGGGTATAGAAACGTAAGCAACGAAGTCGAACCCACAATGACTGCTAAGCCTAGAAACAAGGGCAGATGCAGTACTAGTTGAGGATGAGTCATGGTTAGACCTAGCAAAACAAGTCTGAACCCGTGGGTCGACCCAAAACCCGAGAAAATAATATAGGGCACAAGTCTTTAAACTTAGACCCATTTTGTATTAACCTGTACTCAGATCTGCTCGTTTTGCCAACAGGTCACACGAGTCCACCTGCGGGTACCCGTTTTTTACCCAAAAATTAAAAAACCTTTTTCCCTTTCATTTTGACCCAAATCGTGAAACCCAAATAAATCTGAACCTTCTCTCAAACTCAGTCTCTCATCTCATCAGCCTTCTCTCAAACGTTGTCTCTCATTAACCTTCTCTCAAAGACTCAAACTCATCATCATCATCAGCCATCTCTCATCGCTGGCGCCGTTTCTCTTGTCTCCACTATCCACTCTCCTGTCTCCGCTTCTCCTATCTCCACAGCTAGATTTTTCTTTTGCAAAAGTGATTTTCACTTCTTGTGTTGATGAGAGTGACGAAGAATTTGCAGTTATGGTGAAATTCGGAGGAGGAAGTTTGAGTTTATGGAGAAACATAAACAATAAATGCAGTAAAATAGACTTGGGAATCTGGGCTTGACTTTAGGTTGAGTAGGATATTATTTATGAATTTTAATAGACGTTTTGTTTTAATCAAGGATATTATTTGGAGTAGTTTTATGTAGGGTGTAATTGTAAAAAATGAAAACTGCAAGAATTTTGGGAGTGTAACTACAAAAATTGAAAACTGGAGAGAGAAAAAATGGGCACTTGCGGGTCCACCCGTGCTCACATAGGATAGGGTTCGGGTCCAATATTTTGGACCTATGTAATTGACCTGTTTTAGGGTCGTACCCGTTAGGACCTGACCCCAACCTGGCCCACCCGCCCGTTTTTCCAGGTCTAGTCATGGCCCACCCTCACATTTGTTTAAAAAATATTAATATGTATAATTTCTGGATTTTGGCCCACCCTAACTGAAATATTAATGTGTAATTAGTTTTTATTTTGTCCCACCCTAACCGAAATTTCTGGATCCACCCCTGCCTAGAAAGTTTAATCTATATTAACAAACAAAAATTATATTTTCAGCCATTCTCAAAACAAATAAAAAACTCAATGAAATTTAAACTAATAAACTTGAAGAGACAATGTCAATAACAAAAGTACGGTAGAAAAAGAACTCAACGGATTGAAACTACCAAGGTTTTAGAATCCACCGTTGTCTAACTTAGAAAATTATCTAATTAACAAATTAATTCACAAAAATTAGAGCGACAAATCAAAATCAGTCTATGTCATCTCATGGATAAAATAGTTAAGCCCAATTTAACAAATCTAATATTGGTTTTTCTTCGCTTAATTAGTTGTGTACCCTAGTATTCATTGTATCGATTTAGTAAAAGAAAACAAAGAATCAAAGGAATCAAATTTATTCTTTAGAGGACCAAGCATAGATAAATTAAATCAAGATTCTAACTTTAAAAAATACTTGATATTAACAATGAAAGAAAATATAATTCAATTATCTATATAAGCAAAACCATAATCTTTGAAGAACAAATAAAAGGTAATTAATCTATTAAAAAAAGAATCACTTCATCAAACAAGGTTTCATCCTAAACCCTAGTACAAGAAAATTAGAAATACATGGTTGAGATTAAAGAGTCAAGGAAGATTGAACCCATCATAGACACAATTCTCTCTTCTTCAAGCCGCCTGTCTTCAATCTTTAGCCACCCGTCTTTTCTCTCCAGCCTCCTTTAATTCCTTTACCCTCTTCTTATTTTTGGAAGCAGGTTGATGTGGTGGGCTATTAAAGAGATTGGGCTTTATTTTGCAAGCATGATGAGCTAGACCAAGATAGGCCTTCCTTATTTCTATCAAATTCTTGTTTACATCATGGCCCTCTAAATGGGCTTTCAACCCATTTAATTATTTTTGAAGGTTTCTTTGTAAGTCCTTTGGCATTGATCATACCCCTCCCATGAATGATTGTCCCAAGTTATTTGATAAAGCATCCAATAATATAACAATATTACTATACTTACAAAGAAATTTTACAAAGATTTCCATACAAAGTGAGGTGGCAAAAAATGAATGGAAGAGTAAAATAAAAAGTCAAACTCATGAAATTCACTCTTCCATTCATTTTTTGCCACATCACTTTGTATAGAAATCTTTGTAAGATTTCTTTGTAAGTATAATCCATGTCCAAGTTTGATAATCTAAAGAAAATCAAAGGTAAAGAAACAAAATTGATTAAAGAACTAATAAATATGATAAAAAAACAACTAACAAAATAATATTAAAACCATGCTCAACATATGTGTAACGATGCAAATTACAAAAGACAAAACCCTGTTATACAATTAATTTAAATATGTCCACTGTGAAAACCAAGCTTCAAGAATTATGATTTATACAAATACATAAAAGCTGTGTTATAAAAGGAAATGAAATAAAGGACTTTCATTAAAAATATGAGTTTGCAATACATGGAAACAAAGCTTCATTCTAGGCTGCTGACTCAGTTTCATTATTGCCAAGATTATAACTTCCTCATTCTGGGGATTTTC